AAAAGAAATATGTGCAAAAGATAACATAGGGTCACTACAAATGCAAAAGGTTCCTTGTCTTGTTTCTTCTGACACCAGCTATTTTTGCTGCCAACTGCTCCTCTTCCCATTTGTTATAAATGAAATCAGTCTTCACATTTGGCTGGCTTTCTATGGAACCATTGGTTGCTAGAATTAAAAAAAAAAGTGTATTCATGCTAAAGTCGTCAGACTAACTCTGCCAATGTTATTTTTGCATGGATATTTTTCTTTTGAACTTTCTTTTTACAATGCTAGCTTTCATAGAGTTTTGTTCTCCATGCTTTTCTGAAATGAATATGGTTCTTTTGATACTTCCAGAATTTGGAAGTAGGGATGCAGGAGATGCTGACCAGTAAGAATAGAAATAATTAAAGAAAAGAATGGTGAATTACTTTCTACAAATATTTTGTTAACAGGTGACAAGCATACAGTTATTTATTTGTTTGTCCTTTGGCATATCATACATTGGCTTGCAATATACATTGACATTTCACATAGATTAATAAAACACACCAAAATATAAATGTTAAAAAGATCTATATTCAAATACTAATGTTTAATCCATGTAACCATGAAAATGTTATATACTGAGTCCTGGCAGATACTTTGTGAGGTGAGAGTAAAACAGGAAACTGTTTTATTTCAGGTGGTGCTAAGAAACCACTGTTCTGACTTTATGTTCCACAGAGTTCTGTTTTATCTCCTGTGCAGTTTAACACTGATGTGAAATTACCGGAGAAGGTCATTCAGGACTTTGGAGTAGAAATCTATCAGTATACAGATTACATCCGGCTCTACTGCTTTCTACCCTCTATGTCTAAGAAAGAAATCAATACATTTGACCATTCCCTAATCTCACTTTTGATGTTCAGGAAACTAATTAAGCCCTAGGTTTTGCAAGGAACATTTTGGAACTGAGAAATTTAAAGAATAAATATACTTGGGAGAATTACATGTAATGTACATATCATTTTATATTGCATTAGGTTTTGATTTGATAAAATTTTAATCTATGTTTTATTAAAGTTTATATCAATAATGTTTTTATGTTGATGATCCAGTAAGCACCTTAGATTAAATTGGATGAAGTGGCATAAAAATATCTGTAATAAATCAAGAACAAATTAATTTAATCATTGTTTTTCTGTAGACAACTAACACAGATTCCTTTCCCTTTTCAATTGCTATCTATTTTTTTTATTTCTAGTAAGTGCAGTACTTAATACTCAGGGAATCTGATGTAAAATAGATAATTTTTAAAGAATAGTTTTGGAAAGAGGATTTACTGAAATAAAATATCTCAAAAATTGAATTTAAACATTTTTTTAAAAAAGCATAGATGAAACATTTATAAATACTAAGTAGAAATATCTGTTTGAAATGGAAAATAATGAAAAGACTGAGTTTATTTTAAAAAAACCCATGGAATTACATAAACACTTAATAAATTTTCATTGTCTAAAAGCCAAATATTATTATAGTTCTGGGAGAAAACATTAGTTGCCACTGTTTTAGTCCAGCCCTTGCGGCTTTGGGTTGGAAGTACAGAGAGACATATTTATTCAGTCTCTACTCCTTGACTTTCTGATGTCAACTTAATCTTGGAATCATTTACTAGATATATACTTCTTCCCTGCAACCTTGAGGAAATACCATGCTGCTGAATAATTTTAGACTACAAGTGGCTTTCTTTCTCAATGAGAAAAAGATTGCTTTTCCTGTTATCTTTCTAATCTGTAATTATTGAAGGAATTTATTATTGCCTATAGTCAAGTTTTTTCAATGCCTTTATTGTCGTTGTACATCATCTATACAACAAAATTGGTTTTGCCTCTACTGGTGCAGTCCTGTTTTGACCCAGCCTTAGCAGAACCAATAAACAGACTCCTTGTTCTGAAAAAACCCTCTTTGTTTAGCTACTGTGAATTAATGGCATTCACATACCAAAAAGTCCAGGCAATAATCCTTCAAAAGGTTAACTGCAGTAACAGATCTTATCAGTTCCTTGAGATAATTGCCAGGCCGGGAACTTCCAGTCACACTATGACCAAATCTTCCCAAAAAAATCCGAATGGTTGTCTCCTCCCCTTTCCTTCTATTTATTGCCCAGCTAGGGAGGGGCCATTAAGCATCACTGTGTGCCTGCCTTTCTTCCCAAATTGGGTCCTTGACCCCAGTTATTCTCCTTTCCTAACAGCTCTGCACATGTGGGCATCTGGAAGAGGGCCCAGCTGTTCTTCCTCTCCATTTATCTCCGTCTCCGAAGGCAGCTGGGAAGTGTCAGATGGCTCTGTCTCTATCTCTGCTTCTGACACAGAGTATCCATTAGAGCCTTCCCCAGACTCCAGGACTGGCCCAAGTTCCTCTCCAACCTCCTTATCATCTGAGTCTGCCACCAGTTCCATTGGCAGCTGGTGGGCCACAACAAGTCCATACAAGAATACAAGACAACATGAATAATATAAAGAATAATCCATAGACAAGTAGTTAGGGGGAAAAAAACTAGTCATACATTTCCATATGTAAGTCATATTTTGTGCAACATGTATATTACTTAGGTGTATAATCTTATATCATGGTATATACATATTACACACTACGCTGGCACCAGTGAAATTCATCAATTGGTCTGTTGTGGTGCTATATTATGTTTAGAAGTCTGACGGCCCATGGGTAAAAGCTGTTTTTACACCTGTTTGTCCGGCTGGCTGTACTTCTGTGTTCTGACCCCTCCCTCTTCATACACCAAAGCATGCCGAGACAAAGATACTTCAAGGATTTATTAACACACAGACTAGACCTTGGCAGCAATCCAGCACAGACCAGACCTTGGCAGCAATCCAGCACAGACTGACCTTTGCAGCAATCCAGCCTGTCAAGAGAGCCAAGATAACTTCTCCAACTCTAGTAAATATGTTGATTCCTGCAACGAGCTTATGGAAAGCCATTCCTTTTATAGTCTTGAGAGGAGCCTAATTACCACCAGCTGAGTTCCATTATCTCCTATAACTGTGTAACTGTTCTTTACGCCTATTAACCCTCCGTTGCCAGGCATCCAGGACGAACTCCCTTGTCTCCTCCCCACTGCTCCAAGACTTGACTTTGGGATCACGCTCCCTTTGGCTCTCAGGCGCCTCCTGGTGGCCAACAAGCCTCTCTGCGCCCTGCTCGGAGTCGGAACCCTGTCCAGGGTCCTCCACATCTTCCAGAGCCGACTCATAGGGCCCCTCACTGTCAGAATCTGGTGGCAGCTCCAATGGCTCCTGCTGGGCCAAAACACTTCTGTGTCTTCTGCCCAATGGTGAAAGTGAAAAGATACACTGGCCAGAGTGTGAATCATCCCTAAGTATCTTCCTTACTCTGCTGAAACAGTGAGTCCTGGTGATCTCATCCACTGGTATTAGAGGGCAACCAATGGTTTCTTGTGCCAAATTAATCACTCTCTGTAGTGCCTTCCTGTTCTCAGCTGTTAAACCAGCATACCATACTGTTAAACAATATGTGAGGACACTTTCTATCGTAATAGTATGCCAACTATTTTTTTTTTACTGCCATCACTGGTAGCATTTTCTCCTCCCTTTGCGAATCTTCTTGAATTTCTTGACATTCTTGACCAGTCCAGGTAGACTAGACATGAGTTAGTATTGCTGATCCTGCTGGTGAAGATACTTTAGCAAGTAGTTCATCCATTCACCTGATTGAAAGTATGTAGTGGAATAACCTTGAGGAAAAAAATAAGAGGAGGAAGAGCTGCAACCAGCAACAGTCAGATAAAAAAAATCTTACTCTGGGACAGTTCTGTATATGAATCTCAGACAAGACCCTCCCTAGTTCTCATGAAGGTAATGTGTGTGGGGGGAGGAAATGTGTTGAGATTTGTTGTCAGTCCTCCAAAGTAGACCAGACTAGGAAGCAAAAAGTTATACATGCTAATCCCTCTTCTATTATAAGGTTATAGTAACCTAGGCTTTAACTAGTTTCATCTTTATTGCAACTCAGGTACATATTAGTTATTATAATTAGTGTTAAGTTTATGATGTGGGATAACTTCTATTCATAAGGCACTGGGTTACGGTTGTTTAGATCATCTTCTCAGCTTAGGCTAATAACCCAACTATGATTTTATTTCTTCCTGTTTCAATGTAATCTACAGGTGTTTTATATAACTTCAATGAAAATAAGGGCTACCTTTTGTAACTAGCTTTTATTACTGTAGACCAGGCCAATTACATCTTTCACACAAAGAGTTTGTGCCAAAAAGACTTTCTTTTCAGTGGAACAGAACGCAAAACATCAAAAACTAGAAAACTGATATATGGAGGAAATTAAATCTTACCTTATCTTGGACTATGGTTTGGGGAAGCCTTGATATACATTTAAGAAATCATATTTTATGAACATTAATGCAATATTTTCCCCCCTAAATGTGTTCTGTACAAAAGGCTTAATTTGGCATGAGTCCATGAATGGTTAAAGTAATCCTTCAACTGTGATATCTGTATGAGATTTTAGTCTGAATATGCTTTCTCTTCTTTGACATGCCCAGTGTAAAAGCTACATGTTCTTTATTTCTAGTTTGGGTATTTTTACCTGTTTATGTTGACTTTTTGTATCATTTACCTCAATTGTTAAGTCTGTTAAATAATAACAAGGTTCCAAAGAAATGCATAATTAATTTCATTGAACAAAGGAACCTTTTATTTGGTTTTCTTGGGCAGTAGCTCTCCATACCATGAGATGCCACTTCTGAACTGCAGAAACTTTCAAAAATAAGTTTAGAATGTAGTATAAAGATTTATTGTTAAAAGAGTGCAAAAGTAGGAACACTTGTGCTCTTCAGCATGCTGAAAGTATGTCATTGAATTTCAGTCAACAATCTATTAACAAACAAATTATATGAACTTCACAATGAAGAAATAGTAATACTTGTAAGTTTTTTAAAGTCCAAACTAAACAAATCTTTTTTTTTTTTAAAACAGAATGAAAAATCTCCAGGCCGCTCAACAAGTCGATCAAGTAACATTTCAAAGGTAAGTTGTAAATCATTGTCAGGGAGTTTTGTTGCAACATGCATACCATCTTGATTAAACTGTAAGTACACATGAATTCTGTTGGATATAAATGGGGTGTAGTTCTGACTAAAGACTAAAGATGCATGAACATAAGTTTTGATTCTACAAGAATAACCACCACATTTTTATAAGCTTTGAAATTGGGCACTATACTCTCATGTTAGACTTAACAAGTCAACATGCCTGATGTAAAATATTTTCTCATGTATACACAAAAAGTTGAACTTCTGCTCTTCTGAACTGTACTTCTCTCAAAATTTAACAACTTCTATCACCCTTATAATCTCTCCCTCAAGCCAGTCTTTAGAGGTTCTTGTCACAAGTATACACAATTGTAACCTAGTAATTTCTAGCTTCAGTAAAGAAACTCAGGAGGACAATTTGTCTAAAATGGTGGGCAAATAACTGCCCCTCCCCTTGAAGTTAGGAAGAAGTTTGGTAGATGCTTTTGTTTCTGAAAGCTTCATGGAGGAATGGATCAGTGGGAAGAAATGCCTCACTCCAAGTGAATTATTTCAGGATTCTGAGCACAATAAATAATTAGATAAAAATGTGCTATCTAATTTTATTTGGGTTAATTTTATTTGGTGTATTCAAAGCCTTGCTGAATCCTTCTATAGTTGTTTTTCCTGTGACTTAGCCTCCATTTTATAAGAACCTACCCATTGCCCCCTTCAAATCTAAAACTTTTTTCTAACAGCTGTTTTTATTTCTTTCACTATTGATATATAATATATAGTGGGGAGAGGGCATTTGAGTCATTATTGTCTTCCATTGACTACGTAGACTAATTCTTGGAAGTTTTCTTGGCAAAATCTTTAGAAGGTTTGTGCCTCAGTTGAATTGCCTATTTTTAGTGTGGTGTCTTAACATCTACAGCAAACTAGCTTTCATTTAGTATCTGGGGAAAAAATAAAACTTTAAATGGGAAATTTTAGTGCCATGTCTTTCAGTTTGTAATCTTGCTTATAATCTTGCATATGGCCTAGGTCTGTACAATTCAGTCACCAATTTGTGGGCTTAACCTGTTCTTACCTCCCAATGGCCGATAAGATCACACAGATTAGGCCTCCTTCGGATGCCGTCAGCCAGTCAGTGTCGGCTGGCGGGCCCCCGGAGGAGAACCTTCTCTGTGACTGCTCCGACCCTCTGGAATCAGCTACCCCCAAAGGTCCTTACCTCACCCACCTCATGGCCTTCAGAAAAGCTG